GCTGGGCGCGCGAGCCATGGCCGCTGAGCCTGCGCATCCGGAGCCTGTGCTCCGCAACGGGAGAGGCCACAACAGTGAGAGGCCCAGGTACCAAAAAAAAAAAAAAAAAAGAAAGAAAAACCACCATAGGGTTCTTTTGCTGCTATTGTATGTGCTTTACTTGTTTCTGCCAGCAGGGAAGACCAGTCCTCATAAGTGTCATCTCAGGCCTGGGAGCAGCCACCCCTATAAGTAGGGCCTAGGAAACTGGACCATGGGCCATCCTGGTGTCTGCTCCTTCTGTTGCTAGGTTTTCTTCAGTCTGGCTATGGCAGTGGTGAAAACCTTAAGTAATCTGGAATAACACAGAAGTTTTTTGTATGTGAATAAAGTTTAGAAGGAGGCAGTCCCTGGCTGGCGTGGTGGCATCACTGAGTCATTAGGAACTCGGGCTCCTTCGATCTTGCTGCGCTGTGATCTTTGTTGTGCCGCCTCATCCAAGGTGGCAGATTCAGCGCTGCAGATCACATCCACGTTCCAGCCAGTGTCAAAGAGAAAATAAATCCAGTCTCAGTGAGGAGAGACATAATCTGAAAGGATTATTGCAAGGTGGGGAAAGGGACTGCTGCACTCTGCCCGGAAGCTCGACACACCTTTGAGAGGTAAGCAAAAGGCTTCTCTTCTATAGGGAGGAAAGACCCCAGTGTGAGAAAAGTGGGATGAAAGGGTGGCTTGATGGGATAGCAGATTAGAGAATGTTTTACCCTGAGGCCAGCTTATTCTCCTGGGGAGGTTGGGTGGTGGTAGAGCTGTTGACCAATCAGACCGAGGGTAGGTCAAAGTTTAGGAACTTGGGGGAAGGAAAGAAGCTTACCCAAAGTTTGATTAACAGGCATTTTGTGCTGATGGATCAGTGGAGACCAGCAGTTCAAGTAAATCATTTATGAACAAAGAATAGAACTTTGTGGGATCTGGAGACTAGGGAGCATTGGATGGTCGTGTCAGAATCATATAGGGAAGGTGGTTCTTTGCAGTACACAAAGGATGGGGGCATTTCTTAACCATCCCTGTTTTCCAGGATCACAGGGCTTAGTTCAACAAGTTCTTATCACCAGCAAGGAAAAGGAAGGACAAAGACCAAAGTCAGGATCCCACTCTTTGTCCTGAAAGCCACAGTTCTGCTTCCATTCCACTGGCCTGAACCTAATTGCTTGGCCTTTTTGCAAGGGAGGCGAGAAATGTGGTCTTTATACCAAGTGGCCCGAGATCATTTCTTAGCACAGCTAAAAATTAAGAGTTCATTACTAAGAAAGAACAGAAATTGGATATTGGGCAAACAGTTTCTACCACACTTGCCATTGTAAGATATTACCAATACTGACACCTGTCCTACCAGTACTAACAGAATGCAGAGAAATTTGTTTTCCCTTTGCAAAGGACACTCATTTTCTGCAGTAGAATTTGCATGTTTTTAGATTGTTTTGCCACTGGTATTGATAGCCCTTGACTTTTTTTTCCCCCTTGGCTTATTTAATTTTTTTCATTCAAATTTTTCTTTTTCCAGTTTGTCACAGTATTTTTAAAAAATTCTTATTGGAGTATAGTTGCTTTACAATACTGTGTTAGTTTATACTGTACAGCAAAGTGAATCAGCTATATTTATACATCTATCCCCTCTTTTTTTGGATTTCCTTCTCCTTTAGGTTCCCCTTGGCTTATTTTTTTGACAAGGAGTCACTTATTCACTCTTTTTCTTTGAAATTCTGATAAATGGGAATTTATATGATGGTGTTATGTTGGAAAAGAGTAACGATCTTAATTTATTAAGATTTTGTTGTTGTTGTTACCTCTAACTACGTTGGAGGTAACAGTAGTACCCTCACTTCATTCTGGCTGGGCTCTATGTATAGATGCCACCCTGTCTGACCACCCCCTACCCGCCATCACTCCATGTCAATTTCAGAGATTATACTATTATTATTGTTATTTTTTTGGTAATTTTATTTATTTATTTTTTTGTTGCGGTGCACGGGCTTCTCATTGCTATGGCTTCTCTTGCTGTGGAGCACGGGCCCTAGGCAAGTGGGCTTCAGTAGTTGCAGCACACGGGCTCAGTAGTTGTGTCTCACAGGCTCTAGAGCGCGGGCTCAGTAGTTGTGGCTCACGGGCTTCGTTACTCCAAGGCATGTGGGATCTTCCCGGACCAGGGATTGAACCCGTGTCCCCCGCATTGGCAGGCGGATTCTTAACCACTGTGCCACCAGGGAAGTCCCTGTTGTTGTTGTTATTGGTCTTGTCTTCTCTACTAGAATATTAGCTCCATGAGGGCAGATATTTTTTACAACTGTATTTCCTTTACTCAGAACTGGTACAAGGTAGATATTCAAAACATTCAACATTTGTTGAATGAATGACAGAATGATGAATATTAAACAAAATTTTCTTTCTGAGTTTTCTGAACATATCAAATAGCTTTTTCTTCTCTTACCAGGTAGAAATACCATCATGATTTTTGCTAGATAGTAAAACAGAAATGGTAAACCAACACTTCTCATAGTGAGATCCATATCTACGAGCTAGAATCTCTCTTAGTTATGAACAAGTAACATTGCTAAGTGAAATCCTGGCGTAAAATAGAGGTAAACAGAGAGGCCAGAGCATTGCTTATTTAATGACATACCTGGCCATTCAATAGCGATTATATTAGCTTCCCAAACTGCTTTGGTCTTTTTCATAAATAGCCAATTATTTTAGTGTTTCCTGTAAAATGGAGCTATCTATGCTTAGAGGTTTTCCGTCATAAGCCTTTGGAGATGCTTTCTAAATGCCATTCTGGTCCAGAGAACAGGAGGGCCTGAGTGTCATGTTTAGTAAGCTTTGGTTAAGCACAGTGTGCTTGAAACACAGGCTTCTCTGGGCCAGGTTGGAGTACTCGAGGTTCCTGAGTCCTGGCCTTCCTGAAAGTTGGCATTACATTGGGCTCAAATCTGATTGTGGATGGGGAATTGTCTTTTGCTGATCTCAGCTTTATTAACTGTTGAGCTTTGGTTTTGTTTTGTTCTGTTCTGGCAGAGGATAGAGCGATAAGAAAGACTTGAAGTCACTAAAAAATTCAGCCAAGCTTTTATAAACGTGGTTAGAGGGAACATAGACTTCTTCATTCTGCTTTACACCAGGTCTTCAACAAGGAGAAAAAGAAACTAAAACAGATGCATTTTTATGAATCTATCTTTGACGTAAAGCGTCTGTCCTTGGGCCTTATTTTTGCAAAACTGACTTTAGTTTTCACTTTAGATTATAGATGAGATCCTGAAGATTAATGAAGACACCAGAATACATGGCCTTGCCCTTCAGATCTCCGAGACCTCATTTAGCAACAAAATCCTCAATGCCTTGAAACCAGAAAAAGATGTGGATGGGTGAGAACATACAAAATAAAACAATCGACTCATTTGCTAAACTAGTTTTTCTACTGTGAATTCTTTAAAATTCTGCTCTTTCAACTATGTCAGTGATTGAGCCATGAATGAAATCATTCTCAATATTTCAGGAGTTGGAGGGCTTGTAAAATTATGCTTAAGAAAGTACGCATTTGAGAAAATACACTTGCCCTTTTGTAGTGCTTGGGTGCCGTTTTGGCCAAATCATACTCATTTGAGAAGCTCCTGTCTGACCTACAGAGTCCTTAGCCAGCTCTCCTCTTCTAATAGCTTCTCCTTTTCCTTGATAACTCTACCAAACGAGAGAAAAAACCCAGGGACCTGCTTCACCACAGTAGCACTTTCTGCCGTAGTCCCAGGCCAGCGGAGGAAAACAAAGCAAGCACTTACATTCATAACGTGAGGTTTTATTTGAAGTTTGAGGGAAAAACTGTGAATATCAGGTGCTCTGATATTGGTCTTAGACTCATGTCATGACGTGAGCTTCATGGGACAGGGATTACTGACCATCCGTATGGGAGTTCATGATGTTTCCTGCAAGTTAAAAACCTCATCTTCCTACATGGAAATAAGAAATGTTTGTATCGTGGCAAGAAAGAACGGGATATATTTAGCATTCCAGGGTCGGAAGCAAATTTATAACGTTAGTCTTGTAGGGACTGGATTGAGTGACCAGCACCTCACTGGCATACCCAGGTTCCCCCATTATCCTAGCCTTCTCTTGTGACTTAGGGCAGACTCAAAGATGAGTAGAAAATTGTCATGAAAATCTCCGATCCTATAGCAGACAAACCATAAAGGGGGAAGAGGCTCTAATCAATCAGAAAACATCCAGAATCCCAGGGTATCAAGGTGTAGTTTCCAGTCTTTCATAAAAAGAGAGAATTATGAAAACTTTTCCAAGTATCTCCATTTTGTTAGTAACCTGTATTGAGACCATCAATTTAAGCTAAATAGTTAGGGACTATTTTGTCCTTGGTTTGACCGAGGAAGAACACAGAAGGCATTGAAAGGACACCGTCCCTCATTTTTTTCCTTCATTTCCTTAAGGAGATAAGTACTGATGTCGAGTGGGGATCAGACCTTGAACCCAAGTCTTGCTAGGTCACCCCTGATTTCTAGGATTGGTTTTGGACTTTGATATTGATGGAGATGTAAATTTCCTCAGGATAAAGTGGCTGCAGGACCACAGCATTGCACACGTCCAGGGCCACCGTTCCATGTAGTCCGTTGAACAGAGCTCCGTAGTGTTGTGCAGTGAAGCCCCACGTGGCCTCCAGCTGCGGTCCTGCTGTCCAGGCAGAACCAGAGCGCCCAGCGTCGTCCTGACTCCTCAGGACCACATTGGAGTTGCCTGAGGGGCTGCTCTAGAAGCTGATGACCTCTATTCCTGCTCACTCTTTCATTTCTATTTAATAATTTAATATATCCTACCTATCTGTCGATGAAAATTCAATTAGCGATCAAGTTAAGAAGGAAAAAAGGGAATTTTATTCAAGCCAAACCAAGGATTATAACCCAGGAAGCAGATTCTCAGGAAGCTCTGAGAACTGTTCCGCCTGTTAGAAGTCGAAGGCACAGTCATATACATTTTTGAGAGAAAGGATTGCACATCAAAATGACATACTGGGCTTCCCTGGTGGTGCAGTGGTTGAGGGTCCACCTGCCGACGCAGGGGACGCGGGTTCGTGTCCCGGTCCGGGAGGATCCCACGTGCCGCAGAGCGGCTGGCCCCGTGAGCCATGGCCGCTGGGCCTGCGTGTCCGGAGCCTGTGCTCCGTAGTGGGAGAGGCCACAGTGGTGAGAGGCCCGCGTACCGCAAACAAAACAAAACAAACCCAAAAAATGACATACCGATGTTTTACGTAAAGTTCACCAAGGATATATAGTCCAGGTAAGCATGTACAGCGTGAGCAGCAAGTCACCATGACCCCCTACAGAGCTGGGAAAGAACACTGTTCTTTTAAGAAGTTACACCGCTAGTGTCAGAAGAAAACAATAAGCAGGGATTCTCATCTTTGAGGAGCTCTGGTTAATGTTTAACCCAGATACACACTGCACGTGAGGGAGGGAAGAGGCCCAAACAACCACACAGAGAGAATTTTATATTTAATTTTTTCTTGTCCTGCCTTAAAAGATAAATTTTATTTCAACATATCAAATATTGACTTGGATGTTATTTGGGATTAATTCATGTGAATTACAGATGAGTGAGTTTTGGCCAAACTTGACTTACTTGTTCTCTTATTTTTGGATTCAGAGTAACGGATGTAAACCTGGGGAAGTTGGTACGTGGGGACGCCCATGACTGTTTTGTTTCACCTGTGGCCAGAGCTGTAATTGAACTTCTTGAAAAGTCAGGTATGATGCTCCTTCAGAAATGTTGCTATTTTCTATTTTTTGTTATTTATGTGAGTTTTTAGTAAGGATTTGTTTCTGGAAGATACTTATTGAAACACAGAAGTGATATTCAGTGTCAGCTTTACTTTTCTCATCTTTTTTTTTTGTTTTTTTTGGGGGGTTTTTCTGGCGGTACGCGGGCCTCTCACTGTTGTGGCCTCTCCCGTTGCGGAGCACAGGCTCCGGACGCGCAGGCTCAGCGGCCATGGCTCACGGGCCCAGCCGCTCCGCGGCATGTGGGATCTTCCCGGACCGGGGCACGAACCCCTGTCCCCTGCATCAGCAGGCGGACTCTCAACCACTGCGCCACCAGGGAAGCCCTATTTTTCTCATCTTTTAGGAGATATGAATGACTGGCAAATTTTTCTAATAAGATTAGCTGTATTACAGTTTTAAAGAGACATTGGTAAAGATGAATGATTAACCTGTGTTTTCTCAGTTTCTCTTATGAAACCCTCAAAATAACCACAATGAAAAATGTTTCAAGTTTCAACTTCTCCTATCTGTCAATATGTAAACCTAGATAAGTTTTATATTTAAAACTTAAATGAAGATGCTGTCAGATATAGTTTAGGGTATAGAAACCTAGATTAGGATCTATCAGTGAGCACTGTCTCTTTCAGTAATCAGTATTTAATTTTTTCTGTACACCAGCTTGAGTGAAAAGGAGACAATGCCCCTCCCCTACACCCAAACATGAAATGATTGAACAAAAATTCCAAAATATATACCAAAGTTCTATTAGAAGATTAACTTTCAAGATATACCTTTAGGACATTAGCCATTAAGCTCAAATCTCTGAGATAATCCGTATAGACAGTGTTTCTCCATCATATGGATAATTAGGAGGATGATTCTAGGTCACTCTACCATAAAGTTTGCAAAGAAGGAATAAGTTATGGCTTATAGTCATTGTAGGTTTGGTGCTCAGAGGGCCAAGTTTTAAAAGGCTATTGTTTTGCAGCCAATTAAGCCAACCCTGCTCTTTTCCCCGTGGGAGCCCAGTGTGCAATGGCTGCAAACAGCCGCCTCCTTGGTAGTGTGTGCAGCCTCTTGCCTGTATGGGTTGCCCTAAGGGTCTTCGAGACAGCCCTTTCCAGTGGACATTCATGTCTGCCATGTTGTTCCCAGTCTGGGCTCCAGACAGGTATGTGCGGTGCCTTTGGAAAGCCCCAGGGCACAGTGGCCTGGGTCCACATTGGCCAAATCTTAATGTCCATCCGCACCAAGCTGCAGAACAAGGAGCATGTGATTGAGGCCCTGCACAGGCCGAGTTCAAGTTCCCCGGGCCGCCAGAAGATTCACATCTCCCAAGAAGTGGGGATTTACTAAGTTTAATGCGGATGAATATGAAAACATGGTGGTAGAAAAGTGGCTCATCCCAGATAGCTGTGGGATCAAATACATCCCTAATCGTGGCCCCCTGGACAAATGGCAAGCCCTTCACTCATGAGAGCATTGGCGCTGTCCCCTCCTTAATCACGCCCACCAATAAATACTGCTTTCCTGTCCAAAAATTAAATTAAATTATAATAAAAGCTATTTTTCCTTACATTAAAGCTGTATGGGAGGAAGACTTTGAAGTTTTGATTATAATACTGAATTTCCATTTGGTGGGTAGGTGTCAACTTAGATGGAAAGAAGATCTTGGTAATAGGAGCCCATGGGTCTTTGGAAGCCACCCTGCAATGCCTGTTCCAGAGAAAAGGGTCCATGACAATGAGCTCCCAGTGGAAAACACCTCAGCTTCAGAGCAAGGTAAGCATCTTTCATGTTGGAAACATATCCTTCAACGCCTGTATTAGAAAAGGAGGACTGAAATGCATAGGCTGATCGTTTAACATAAAAAGTTAGACAAAGAACAGCAGAAAATCACAAAGGATGAAAACAAAAGAGCAGAGATTACTGAAATAGAAAACAAATATGTAATATGAGAGGTTATCAGCAAAGCCAAGAGATAGTTCTTGGAAAAGTCTAGTAAAATAGACACACCACTAGCCAAAGTAATTAAGACAAAAAGAGAGAACACCAGCAATGTTAGGAGCAAACAAGGGGACATAACCACAGAAGCAAAAATTATTTTTAAAAAAGGAGAATATGAACAGCTTTATGTTGATAAATTTGAAAAATTGTATGGAATGAAAACTTTCCTAGAAACTGTAACTTACAAAATGGATTCAAGTAAAATTGAGTAGTCTTATAATTGAAGACATTGAATCAGTCTACCCAGCAAACAAGCAAACAAAAAAAGGCACTAGGTTGTTTTATAAATGAGTTACCACAGTAAAGAACATTTTCTCTGGAGAACAGAAAAAGAACATTTCCTAACTCATTGTATGAGTGCCCAGTGCAGACAATGACAAGATGCTAAAGGATAATTACAGGCCAATTTCACCTGTAACGTAGATGAAATAATCGTTAGCAAAATAGAAAACCAAAGCCAGCATCCCATTGGGACTATCATAGGATTGCAGGGGGGTCTGACATTAAAATCTGTTAAAATGTATTAATGTAATTCACCACATTAACAGATTAAAAACTATACTGTCACCATAGTCGATGCAGAAAAGCCACTAGATAAAATCTAATGTTCATTAGGATTTTTTCCTGAGAAAAACATTAGACTAGGAATTTAAGGAAATTCCTTAACAAGATAAAACATCTATAAAAACTTAGAGTAAAAAATCTCATTGAACAGTGTAATATTAGAAATATTTTCTTAAACTAGGAAAGACAAGGACGCCTGTGATTAGTACTCCTAACCAGCATTGTGTGGGAATTCCTAGACAATGCAGTAATATGAAGAAAGCAAGCAAGAAAATTCATAATGATCAGAAAGGAAGACACCAAACTGTCGTCAATCCTGGGTAATATGATTACATAAAAAGTCCAAAAGAACCTATTAAAATATCAGAATTAGTAAGAGTTCATCTGGGTTCTTGGATGTCAGATCAACATGCAAAAATCAATTGCATTTCTAAACACTACTCCCCACAGTTAGAAAGTTAATTTTTAAAGAAATACAATTTATGATAACAGTGAGAATATAAGGTATCTAGGAATATATTTAACAAAAGTTATTTCTGACCTTTTGAAAGAAATTATATAATTTTGATGAATGTCATTAAGAAGACCCAGTTAAAAGCAGAGATACCATATTCACGGATCAGAAGACTCATATTTTTTTCCTTTAATTTATTTATTTATTTTATTTATTTATTTTTGGCCGCGTTGGGTCTTCCTTGCTGCGTGCGTGCTTTCTCTAGTTGCGGAGAGTGGGGACTACACTTCGTTGCGGTGCGTGGGCTTCTCATTGCAGTGGCTTCTCTTGTTGCGGAGCGTGGGCTCTAGGCACGCGGGCTTCCGTAGTTGTGGCTCGCGGGCCCTAGAGCGCAGGCTCAGTAGTTGTGGCGCATGGGCTTCATTGCTCCGTGGCACGTGGGAACTTCCCGGACCAGCGCTTGAACCCATATTCCCTGCATTGGCAGGCGGATTCTTAACCACTGCGCCACCAGGGAAGCCCAATAAGACATCTTAAAGGTACTAATTCTCCCCAAATCAGTCTATACATTTGAATCAGAATCCTGACACAGGGCTTCCCTGGTGGCGCAGCAGTTGAGAGTCCGCCTGCCGATGCAGGGGACACGGGTTCGTGCCCCGGTCCGGGAAGATCCCACATGCCGCGGAGCGGCTGGGCCCGTGAGCCGTGGCCACTGAGCCTGCGCATCCGGGGCTTGTGCTCCGCAACGGGAGGCCGCAGCAGTGAGAGGCCCGCGTACCACAAGAAAAAAAACAGAATCCTGACATAATATTATTGTGTAGACGTTGACGGGCTGATTCCATTTACACGGAAGCACAAGGACAAAAACAAGACAATTTTGAAGAAAACTAGAGCTGTAAATATCCACAAGAAAGAATTTTTAAAAACAGCATTCATTGGAAAAAAGCACGTTGCAGAAGGCTGTATTTCATCTAACACCATTTATATAAGGTTTTAAATCAGTACCATGTATATATTTTTAGGGCTACATACATATAAAGTAAAAGTATAAAGAAAGGAGTGGAAACTGTGAACCAGATCAGGAAAACCATGACAGGACAAAGATGTGCAGGTAGGTAAGAGGAGACTAGGGGACCTTCACTTGTGTTGGTCATGCCTTTCCTTAAACTAGCCAGTGGGCGGGATGTCCAGGTGTGTTATGTTATTCTTTTACATTTCCATGTCTGAAATAGTTAATAAAGTTTTTAATTTCAACAACTGACAGTGAATATCACAGATTTCAAGCAAAGTGAAGTTAAATTAAAAGCGCATTAAGTACAATAAATTCCTAAAATCCAAAAATACATGTTCTTCACTTTGAAGCCTGAGGATGGAAACCAACAAGTTGTAGTCCTGTCCAGGGGAGACGGGCCTCTTGACTGAGATTTGTAATTTTTCAGTGGCAGGTGGATCTGATGTACATAATTCCTTTTTGTTTTAAAATAGCCCAGCAACATGGTCTTGCAATTGAACTCAAACATATGTGCTTTTTCAGTGGTCACCACATGGTGGCAGCCTATTCAAGAAAATTCAAGGACAATGTTTTCATACTTGATAGAGGCCAGGATTTTAGGTTGGGAAGCTTAGTAGAAGAGGACAGTAAACTTGCCCTGAACTGAACAGCTGTGACGCAAAAGAGAAAAATGCCTTCATTGGCAATTCAGTGTTTTCACAGCTGTCACAGATACTTTTGCTAGTTGTATCTGTATTTTTGAACAACAGAGACATCTTTCAAAGTGCTTTTTTTATTTTGGAAATAAATCACCTTGACTCTTTTGGATAAAGCCCACCCTAACTTTGAGAACGATGATCACAAGGCTTTACTCTCCAGAGAATCTAGAAATTGAACAGCATTCTGGTTCCCTCATGTCTAAGAAGGCTCTTTTCAATAGCTGACATCGCACACACATTTTGTTTTCCTAAGTCCGTGGCACTTAGAGTGGCACCGCTGTGAATCTTATAGGCTGTCAACTTCCACTCTTTTTATTGCTTCAACTTTATAGCCAAAAATAGGGGAAAATTCCGGGCTCCCTGTACTTGTCTTTAAAGTTCATTTGGTCTCTGGTGTTTGGCCCTCTCTACCTGGCTTACTTACATACAACAGGCTCCCCTCACACCACAGGATAGAGGCTGTATCTTTCCATATTTGGTGCTAGCAGCCAGCTTCGCTAGTCACTTACCTCCCGCTGATATGCCTCCATGCTTCTGCCTGACATTTGACTTTTCAATATTCCTACATTTTATTTCTAAAACACAGGCCATTGCTGGGCCTGGTTTCAGAGGGTGAGTGCGCCCTCTGCAGACCACAGTGATGGCAATTAATGTGGTGCAAAGAACACCTAGGCCCAAGTTAGTGTCCTAGGACACCTGAATGGGACAGGCTGTGTCCACCCGTGGAAAACCTTCACTGTGAGAATCCTTGAAAGTATAAATTTAACAACAGATTCAGATTTTTGTTTTCTAATTCCATCAACAATGCATTTTAAGATTATAGTACATTATAAGTGCATCTGAACAGTGCATTTTAAGATTATGGTCCATTTATCTTCTCATTATCAACAATGCTGAGTATCAGGGAGAGAAAAGAGCAAGCAAAGGATTATAGCTATTAGGTCACAGGACGTTATCTTTGTAAAGCATTTCTTACCTGCTTATTTGTACCTGACATGGGACAAGACCCCCTGCTGGCCATCTGGTGGGGGATTTCCAAAACGAGCGGGGTGAGGGTTTGGGGATCAGGGGGTGACTGTAACACTGGAGTCCTGTCCACCACCTCCTAAACTACACATAGCCTTTCAAGTTTGGGATGACCTTGAAGCAGTCGCAGCCGGCTGCAACCAGTAGAAACTGTCTTTGAAGGTCTGGAGTCAGAGACAACATTTGTGTTTTCGGGAAGCAATAAAACATAGGCATTGGTGGAGACAGCTCTGGATTCAAGCCTTATCTGTTGTTTAACCTCTCTGAGCCTGTCTCCTTATGTGGAGAATGGGGATCATAATACTCCCTGCCTCATGGGGCTGCTGTGAGAATTCAGTGATCATGTAAGTTTGCTTAGCACAGGATCCCTGGTAATAGCTTGGCTGTTATTGATGGTGAGTCAGGAGGGACACTGGTAAGTTTCACCATACAGATGTGCAGTTGATCCTCAGTGTGGAAATGGAACGGCCAGTGGGTGATCACACTGTAAGGAGATAATAAAAAATCAGGACCCAGGGTTCCTTATTGGGGGAAAACTAAGAGAGACAGTGTCCCTGAGAGAGTGGGTGCCCAGCTTTGGCCAGTCCGGGCTCTCCCTCTGGTCCTCACCTCCAGGGCTGTGGACCTCTTCCTTCCCTGATGCCTGTGTTACTCAAGCTGCTCCACTTCAAATCATGTCTCCCGGGGATTCCTGGTTTACCAGTCACTCCTTCCAGGAATAGTAGTCCTTCCTACGATTTTGAGGAGTAGTTACATTGAGTTAGTTAAATAGAAATGGATCCCTTCTCTAACAGCCTGCCTAGATCTAAAGATAGTCTTTGGATACTGATTACGCATAAAATCTCATGGAGTCTGAACATGAGAATTGAGATTTGCCTTTTTAGAGAGGTACAGAAAAGAGAGTTGACTTCTGTATCTGGTAGCTTGATAGTTTATGCCCCTCTGAGTGTATGATTGAAAATTAAGAATAAGTTTCCTGCTCTGTTTTGCAGCATCAAAACAAAGACGGATTCTGCTTTGA